GACACTGGATGGAACCAGTCGAAATTTTCAGGTGTTACGGCTGGCTGTCGTGGGTTCGATTCCTGCCTCAAGCAGACTTTCAAGTTATTTATAATTGAATATATCTTTATCCAAAGGATACAATGACCATGTTGTTGTTGGCGGGCTGGAAGACGCAGCAGAGCACGGCCGAGCCCAGCTGGTCAGCCACCGCGCGCAGCCGCTGCCGCCGCGCCACGTCCCACAGGCACAGCGCGCCGTCCAGACCCGCCGACACCAGCAACTCGTTGGACGCCGACCAGTCGCAGCCTGCAAGGTAAGAATAATAAGAAAGGCCTTTATTCAGCACAATGCGGTGGACAACGCTTGATGAGCATTGCGCGCTCCTCTGGTAGAGACGGTTTGATCAGCCAGTTGCACTTGCATTATAAGGCGAGTACGAATCTTTAAGCAGCCTGCAAGGCATTGTGATTGATTAGGACTCTGCATCTACACTGTGGCTCTGGTTTAACTGAGTGGTTGACACCAATGACCAATAATAACATCCCAAAGGCCCAGAGCGCTGTCCAGACCAGCGGAGACTAGGAGTTCGTTGGACACCGACCAGTTGCAGTGATGAGCATTGCGCGCTCCTCTGGTAGAGATGGTTTGATCAGACAGGTCCACTTGCATTATAAGGCGGGTACGAATCTTTAAGCAGCCTGCAAGGCTTTGTGATTAGGACTCTGCATCTACACTGTGGCTCTGGTTTAGTTTAGTTGAGCGCTCTGTGCCTTTGGGATGTTATTATTGGTCATTGGTGTCAGACCAATAATAACATACCAAATGCACAGAGCGCTGTCCAGACCAGCGGAGACTAGGAGCTTGTTGGATGCCGACCAGTTGCAGCCTGCAAGTTAGTCCTAGGTGCATTATATTACTATGAAAATTACCACAGTTAAACAAACCAGGGTATGACTAAGTGATTGAAGGGTGGATTCGACCAAACAAGAGTAAATATAAATCAACAGTTTTGACGTATTTCCCATACTGAAACTGTCAATGTGCCAGTTATACTAGGAGTTATTCTCGGATAAATGTTTGGTCAAATCGGGCCTAAAGAAAGTTAACCTTTAATGATTCTATTCTATATCTAATATGTTAACTAGGACTATGGTTGCCAGGAAACCTCAGGATTGTCCTGAGGGCTTTTTTACATTATGTAGTGCCTCTAACTCCACTAATAAATATGCCATATGTGGTGATATCTAACTTTTACATGGTACATTGTTTACTACTACTTGGTATAGCTTTATAAGAACACCTAGACTAGAACCAGTAGTTTGTTTGAGACCACTAAAATTTTAAAGAGAAAACAAGATTGTCTCCTTCATATCAAGATTTCAATGTTTCTAAAACATATTTTGAATTTAATAAATGTATGAACTACCAGTGACAGCTTTGGTGTGCCCTTCCAATATGAAGCTGACTTTAGGTGGAGTTGCAGTCACGTCACAAATGGAGACAGTCCCGTCGTGCGAGGCACAGCACAGCTTAGACCTGTCATTATTTGCAAACTTCACCACACTCACTTGGTCAGTGTGCTGTAAAGAGAACATAAAAATGTAATTTAAAAAAAAGTTTGTCAGTTTTATTTCTCTAATTTCAGCAGTGTTATTAAATACCTGATCAAATATGTGATGCACTCCTGAGAAAGCATAGTTTTCAGATATAGTCATATCATTCTTCTTTTTACTGGTTGATGCTAATGGGTCATCTACAGCCAAACTAGCCTGTAAGTTAAGTTGTTTCAAATTTTCAATGAGGGCTATCGTTTTTATACTTAACAGTTAGCACCCCTGGCGATTGACAGGACCTTACTCTACAGTGGCGTCATCTTGATGAGTGCAAATGCGATAGTCCTCCTACCACTTTCGCGCTCACCAGTTGGTGCCACTGTCTTCGCTACTAGCAAGTGACAGGACCTTACTCTACAGTGGCGCTAACTGGTGAGCGCTAAAACGATAGCCCTCATTGAGACTTAAGTATTAGGACATATCAATTTAATCTTAACACAAGTCAATAAAGTTTAAAATTAAATGCAAATTAATGTTTGGAATACCTACCTTACTGCTTGACCTAGGACGAGATGAACTGGAACTAATGGAAATGTTATCTTGCACGCCATATCGCCGCTGCAGTAGTTGGCTTCTTATATTTATATACTTTTTTATTGTCTCTATATCCTACAAAAGGTAATAATATATTAGAGTAATAAATTAAATTGAAGAAACGTAGTTTTAGCTGTTTTAGAGCGGTCCATTTTGTCGGTAATTTTTTTAAAACCTACCTTAAACTTTGCATTTTCACGAAGAAGCTGGCTTCTTCTGCGTATGTAAAGAGTCTCTAAAAAGAAAATCATTGTTTGGAAAAGTTACTTCAAGTTTCTGTATCGAATTGTGTGTACAAAAAATTAAAATAATATAAAATAATTAATTCTTACTAAAGTTCGGGTTGTTTGGTGCTCTGTAGGCATTAAATCGCGCGTCTAGCGCAAATATTTGTTGCTGAAACGCCGCTGCCATTATAATAACACCTTTTAAAAATTATCAAATCAAAATTTCTTTCATTTCTTCAGTAAAACAATAAATTAACACAATTTTTTACAGCAAAAATATTTACATTTTTACAATCCATTGATGACGCAAAGCTTGTCAATGTCATTATGACAGTGACACATATCAATTTTGGTTGGTCCGAATCTAGAAGTGTCCCATTTAGATGGGTTGATTTTTGTGGTCCGAACTTCCACAATAACCATACGGAACCACCATTGTATTTTATCATTGAGTGGGCGGGGAAACAGAGCAAAATAATAATAAGTAGGTATAGTAAAATTAGATATTTAAAATCAGTACTTACTAATCGAAAGCACCAAATGTGTAATGGAACAATTTAGGCGGTTTTATAGCTAGGGGAAGCGATTTCTTCCAGACAGCCCGATACGAGGACACGGAAGAAACATATTTTACTTTATTAGCCTTAAAACCAAAGGCATATGTGATTGACGTATAGTAAGACAATGCCTTATTAATATTTAGTAGCATTATAGCAATCATTCATGGATATACAAAGGTGACTTAGTATTGCTCCCTGAACAAGTTAGTGGGAGCCCTAGCACTACTTATTACATGTAATTACTTTTGTTACCAAGTGAACGGCTGATTTATGAGCTTTTTTATTAGTCGGATCCAGATTTGAGACTCAGGGTAGGGGTAATCCGCAATTTTATCGCATTGCATCTGAGTAATCGCAACTTTAAAGCGGATTTAGGTGGGCTCGTTCGGCAGTGGACATTACCACCGAGTGACCCCCGCGGCGGAGGCTGCTGCTCACGCACACAGGCGCAGCGCGCACACTTGCGCCCGCGCCTCGTCCTCGGACTCGCGCTGAGGCCAGCGATTTCCCGGAATCCTTGTTTCCGATTCCGAAATACCCGACTCGGTGATACCGAGAAATCTCGTCGCGCGTTATTCTGGGGCAATGCCGTGTAAAACCCGAAACACGTAGCTTTCTAGCGAGGTGGCTCTGCCGTTATAAATAATCAGAATGCGTAAAGAGAAGTCGGTGACCCTCAATTACGGATTATTTGTTTACTCGGAAACACTTTCCGCTTCTTCATAGCGAATTATGCGTTTTAGATGAACCGCTGCAGGGATTAAATTAAGGTTTTAAGGGATTTGAAAATAAACGCAGGCGAATGTTTAAATTCCATTTAATTAGTGACATACCATACACAGTAACATTTAAAATTCGTGCCGAGCATACGGCATGCGCGGGCCGCGGCTCCGCGCCTCGGCTGCGCTAAATACATCAAATATGTACAAGATAAGTCTTTATAACTATCAGACGGATTAGCGTAATTATCCAAATTCAATTAGTGAGAAACATTATAAACTATAAATATTCTATAACTATTAGGAGCTCGTACAATAATTGCTGTGAATAAATATCGACACTTACGAATAAACAGGTCATCGGCTAAACACTAATCCATCTTAAATATTTAAGATAGTTGTTGACTATTATTTGTTGTACCTAATTAGTGTTAAAAATGTTCGCATTAACATAAAAATGCATGGAGTGTAAATATAATTATACATGTTACAATCATAACACAATAGATCATAAAGCAATCAGTCAAAACTTAAAGTAACACTATAAAAGGCAAGTATTTTAATACTACAATATAAAAGTAGCTACACCCTAAAATATACAATACAATAACTATGTTAAAATACCTCTATTGTATATATGTTACGGCTAAAGATAGGTGTGAACATAAACTTAAGATTAGCCGGCTAAACTTAAGTTTAGCTTCGAGAAGCAGCTAAAGTTCGATAACATGTTAGTTTGCGTCGTGATATTCCATCTTTAGCCGGCTAATGTGCACATTAGCCAAAACGATACGGCTAAAAATGTATTCGATGGGCGCGCCAGGCCGGCGGAGGGCTTGAGGGGGCGGTGGGGAGACAACGAATAGCTCCATATTATTTAACAATTGTGACTAGATATTGTTTTAAGTAATTAACACTGAAGAAGTTTTATTTTGTTTTATTTTGTAATTTTAAATACCTACCTACAGAAGATTCTGTAATGACCAAATGGTTCCTTATTATTTTATTTTAATGATTAGGTACCTAGATATTGTTTTAAGTAATTAATGTTTTGTTATTGTAATAATTGTCATTTTGAATACCTACATAGGTACATAAAAGCATGTGTAATGAAAGTGATTATTTTTTAATAAAGTTTTCGTGTCAAAATAGTAAACATTATTACACTGTTTCCTTTTCCATTTCCTTCTACATTTTTAGCCAAGGGCCTGCGGTTACACTTAAGTTTAGCCGGCTAAAGATAGAAGAAACTAACATTAACACCTCGTCGAAGATAAACTTAAGTTTAGCCGGCTAATCTTAAGTTTATGTTCACATCTATCTTTAGCCGTAACATATACATAATTTGATAACGAATCAATTATAATATCAACAGTTGTAATTTCATTAGCCGATAAAAATGATTTAAATCCAACTTACAGCTAGTTCACGTCCCGATTTGTTCCAATCATATAAAATAGTCTATTGTCAACGTTAAACTTAACTTTAAAAATATTAAGCTAAAAACAATGGCGTTACAAAATACCCATAAGCGACAGCTGCAATAGGCTGAGCTAATCTCCGGCGTAACCGTGAGCGCTAAAGGCGCCGGCCGCCTACTCCAGCGATCCCTGACCGATAGCACCTGCGTGTCATTAACTACCCTCGTAAACTATACTACTCCCATAAACACTCGTCATTAACGCACGAAATACAAATTAAATACTTGCTAAATCATTCATCCAATTCACACTAGCATGGAGGGCGATTTTATCGTGTGACATGCAATAACACTTATATCGTTAATCAAAATATTTCACGTTCTCAGAACCAAAGGTCAACCTGTCGGTTACTCGGAATAAAAACTGTTTGTGTACCTACTCGGAAAACTGAATCACGAGAAATCCGTAATGTCGAAAACGATACAAATAAGGGAGGTCCGAATTCGTCGTAGGCAAGACCCGGCTTCTAGCTGCGGACGCGGCCGCCACGACCGGAGCGGAACTAATCTCACTTACGGAGAAGATTCTTGAAAAAAGTCAAGCAGAACATTCACGAAGGGCTATTATAGGAAACTATGACGATGCATTATCCACCTACACTTAACAAAGGCCTTAAAGGTTATGAAAAACATTCACATTACTTAATATTATTTACTCACTAATATATTACTGAAAACTTACTCGTTAACTACAATGGCAAAATCTAATTACAACTGGGCAAACTAGGAAACATTAGGCCGATCATTACTTAGTAATTTTCATTTATTAATAGCGAACATTTACGATGTGTAATAATGAAATATTATTAAAATATGTAATTATACTATCTAGCATTGTGTATTGATTTACAAACATCATTCGAGACTTAAGTAAGCTATATTAGTATTCCTTCGATCTGTCGCTTGGTTATACCTCTTAACAACCCTTTTAGAGTCAAATTCTAGGTGATGAAAATGTCAATCTAAGAAACAACGTTACATCATCAGACACAACAATGTACAAAACCGTACAGTCAACGTTATTTACAGCTTAGTTCCTAAAATGTGAATAAACCTGTACATGATTAAACAATTGTTAGCTGGTATTATCCCGGCCGAGTGTAATGCAAAGCGAAGCCACAGCTATTTTCATCGGAACTTAACTGTATGCGGATGGGCCCGTCATGCGGCATACAAATGTGACCGAAATAAAGAAGGTACCGCGGACGATTTACCTAATGTGCCCATACGAAACCCTTGTCACGTTACACCCACTAGAGTGATATTTGGAACGCTGTAAACCCTGCCGCCTTAAACACGCAATGCGCATGCAAAAGCATGGTTGGACATTTACTTCAAATTGTTGTAAACTCTACATTACATTTTATCACGCTGCATTAACGTATTCAGCCGTCGGCTTTACATTAGATGTTGGTATCTACCAGCACTAACCAGTTTCTAGCACGACCGGAGCAAACATTCATCATACTCTTACGTAAAGTTACCGACTGTTATTGCTTCACTTGCATGATGTTATCAATTAATTAGGAAGCTCGATCGTTAATTTATTGATCTTCGGATTAGACATTGTGTTGTTGTAACTTAGCAACATAAGGGCCGAATATCTAGGTAGATATTCACATATTTTTATTATTCAATTTTGTCTTACGATAACTATTTTATATTTCTATCTTCCATTGAATTGAAATTAGGCATGCAAATCGATTGTTTTCGTTGTGCGTGACTACATTTCGCCGGCCCAGACCGGTGACAGTTCTGTCGACTGGGAGTCTGCCGCGGCCGACGCTACTGAGAATATCTATTGTTTGGTTTAACGAGCCTTTGACAGCGCAGCCTGTGTGGCCGAGTCGGCCTACCATTCGCAAAATTTCATTTCAACGCACGACCTCAAGTGTGACTCACACCGCGGAAAGCATTAATTATGTAAATTTATTTAGTTGGGAATTAATTAGCTATGCTGTAACACGATAATAAAAGTGCATTATAAAATTTAATTACGCAAATATTTGATAATTCGTTGTCGATTTAACTCTTAACCTTTTTAAACCTTATCACATTCGTACTAAATAGAAAGAGCATATTAAAAAAATGAAATGAAAAATGAGCATCCTAAGTTTTATATATTAGCACCCCCAACATACTTAGGCACGCACATCACATGGTCTTCTTAACACTTTATAGAATCTCTATCCAAATATCTATCTACTTCCCCTATCCTTTCTGCTACCATACCTAGGAGTTTTACTTGTTCCCTGCATAGTTTTGTAATCAAAGGTTTAAGTGTTTACAAGAATAAAAAGACACGTATCCGGAAATAGGCGCCGGTCGTAAATATACCTGGTCCCCTCGCCTCTACTCAGATCTACATTACAAAATTCGTCGAACCGACTCATAGGTGAGGCGTCATTACACAAATTACGGTGGGCCCTTGAACCGAAAAACATAAGTGGCCATAATGATAAACTGATTATGCGTCGAAATTGTCGTAGAATTAGCGACTTCCGCGTAAGTGGGCCGCGGCTATTATGCGCTTCTCTATCTGTTTCTCGGTTCTGGAAATCGGGTGATTAGCCGAACCAGTTGATAGTTTGCGGGGAAGGTGCGCTGCGCCCGCGCACCTTCTCGGAAACGAAAGCGAGATAGCCACTAGTGGGAAATGCGATTATCGTAATAACCTCCCGGAACGAGAGCCCTTTTCCGATCCACGATTGTATACTTCGAGTAAAAATCTAAGGCGTGTGTACACACTGAGAGCTGTTCGAGTTAACAGCTTCACTCAGCCTACAGAAGGGTTACATTTGGAGATCATAGTTACATTTAGTGCGCGTGTTGTCCCGCGATTATCCAAATGATATCATCGATGGGTACCTATTTATGGAGCTGAATATTGGAAAATTATCTAGTATTTCCAATGAACACTTATTTAATTAACATTGGCAAATATTTCCCACGAGCAAATAACCCAGTACAGAATTTGTGGTCGGGGATTTTTTTAAGAAAAAAATTCGTGAAACATGCAAGATAACTAAGTCCAAGTTAGGGAAATCTCATTACTCACATTTAAAGATTGACTTAACGATTTTGATTAGTAAACCGCTTGGAATGCAGTTTATGTAGTCATTAAGTTCTTTTTTGCGTCACCCTGGGACACAATTAGCCTGAAGCCCTGAACTACTGCGCCAAGCTAGATCTATTCAGGCGTCATTCACAACGTTAAATCACTCACTCCCACTCATCAAGCAGATCAATGCGATATCGCGTGAATTTACTGAGGACACACGTAGTTAGTACACATTGAAGTGATGTTCACGGTTGATTATGTTGAGATTACAACGTATGTCGCAGCACACGTGTACAGACTCATAGAAAACTATTATTTTAGACTTACAAACAACTTTTTAGTGCATACCGAATGCCGATATTCATGTGTTTAACATTCAATATTATTCGTATCAATGAAAAATTCAGTGGAATATAAAATCGGCGCACAAAAAGGTGTCGCATCTACCTAGTTGTGGAAACATTAGATTTACCAAAACTTTCAAATTGCTATTTTACTGATGTGAACGCCAGATTAGGGTCCAAAGATGGTAACATCGAGTTCAGTAGTGCAACGCGCTTAAAATACTATTGCTACTCCCAGTCGCTGCGGCTTGAGGAATGTTGCGGCATTTGCTTTTCTGGCTAGGGCAGAAAGCTGATCGCTATCTTGCAGGTCATAGATGCTCGTTCATACGCGGCCAGTGAAGAGGTGTAGCTTGTCCCAATCGCTCTCGTTTATGGAATATTGGCTGGTTTTCTGGCTCGGGTGTAACGCTGATCTACCGCTAGCTTTCAGGTCACATGGATGTTACCCGGTCAGTATAGACATGATGCTACTCCCAGTCGCTCTCGCATAAGGAACGTTCGCTGATTTTCTGGCTCGGGTGTAATGCTGATAGCTAGCTTTCAGGTCACATGGATGTTACCCGGCCGGGGCAGTGGCGGTACTCCCAGTCATTCTCGCATAAGGAACGTTCGCTGATTTTCTGGCTCGGGTGTAACGCTGATCTACCGTTAGCTTTCAGGTTACACAGATGTTACCCGGTCAGTATAGACATGATGCTACTCCCAGTCGCTCTCGCTGGACGAATGCGCTGGCGAGGACTCGGCCGGCTCGGGGATGACGCTCGCGAGCGTGTGAAGCACGGAGCCGCCGCGCTCGGCGCCCGAGATGCCGCGCCGGCGCATCGACAGCTTGGCGTGAAGGTCCGCCATCAGGTCGCCGGTCGGAGCCGCTTTGGTGCCCTACGACAAGGAGATGAGATTACAGACTTTTACATTCACATTTTTGTAGCAAACTCGCCCCTATTACACTAACATAAGATCCCAGTGTTTAGTTTGACATTCCATCGTCTGTAATATGGCTTTTTTTCGTTGGGAAAATGCATGGCATTGTACCAGTCGCGAAGGCAGCTTGGATTATTTGCCAGAAGGGCAAGAACTACCCATTTGTGTATTACAGCTGTATTCAATTTCAAGCAACAATTTAAATAGGCTTTTCATTGGTTGTATTACAGAATTAAAACGAATGAATGATTAAGATTGAATCCAGTTTTCAAAGTTGTTCTGCACTGTAATATGCAGCTAAAACAGCTCAATGAGATTTTCCACTATTCTATTCTTGGGTTTACCGAAGTATGTACAAACAATAGTACGAAATATCCCACACCCTAAAAAAATAATTTACCCGCGGGTATACCGGAAAAAAATTTAGAAAATGAATCAGAAAATTTTCCTTTATGACTAAATCAAAAGGACCTTGAAGATTTGACAATGGAGGCTACCTGTTGGTTATATCGACTTGACTAATACATGGTTAATATTTAAAGTAATTACCTAAGTACCAAGGATTTTTCGTAGTAAGAATGGTTGATTTAATATAATGAGCGTTTTCACTTCATATTAGAAATCCAATAAATATTATGAAATAACTACAAAAGAAACGACCTTATTGACGAAAACATTGCTGTTCAAACATAATAAGATTGTTTGGAAAGTCTGCCAAATTGCAGGCGCCAAGTAAATTGTTTGCTAAAATATTCAGGTTGGCAATATTAAATTTTCGACTAGACGAACTTTTACGTCTTAATCAATTTCTCAAAAAAGAGATATACAATAAATTATTCAAACTTAATCTTCGCTGTCGAAGCAAAGATATAAAATTCATTATGAACAAGTAAACTATCTTGTCTAGCACCACGACCAGTGGTTCGAGAATTTGAGATTAGCTCAGAACTTATTTTTAGTGTTTATGTCTAAACTTTATAAGTATCCCTCAGATATAAATGTTGAAATTATAATGTTTCTCAGAAATCGTATTAGCAATTTAGCTCGCAATAAAACGAATCGATTAATTGCGATGCGTTGAAAAGATTAGCATAAACATTTCAATCGGCGGGAGCCAGTTTTGCGCGTCTAATGATCGACCCCAAGCTTCGCAGATAAAGTCGGTCTCAAATGTCTTTTGATTTCATTGCCATTCAGGTATTTTATGTCTTTCACTGGATGAGGCTTTGATTTTCATGAAAAGAATTAGTAAATCCTTTACTTTACTTTTTATGCCCATTGCCCATGCTTTCAGTAAGGCTTCAAATAGACCGTTTGTTTGCCTAATATCTAATGTTTTGTTGCCTGATATTATTAGAATTCTGACGTTCATTTTTATATAAAGTACAGCACGAGAGATAAACGAGCATGAATACACTTTCAGAGTACGTGGGTGTGAGTGCGCAGTTATCGCAGCGAGTATGGGTTTCTGAAGAGAATATCGACACTTATCAGAGAGGGCTTATCGCTTGAAACAAAAGGTCAATGGCAAGCGATACTACACAAATAGCTTTCCGATGCGACACTAGGGGTGACGACGCAGCACGTACAAAAATAAATATGCTATAAAGGACAATGGGCAAAATGGTACCCGGCTCCAATAGATATGCTTCTAGTGTCGTTTGAAAGGTCTTACCAAGATGAACAACATTTACTATGGCCACCAGCCTCAGATCTGGTTGTGTTCGAAGATAAACATACTTTTTGTGTAACCTAAGTATCATACGTGTCCATCGCATGGTACTTAGGTTATGCGACGCATGAAGGGTTTACTGCTCCAGCATCCTTCCATAACTCTATAATTATTGATAGGGATAGTTGTGAAATAAATGTTTTTATTTGAAGAACTACTACCCCCTTATTAATAAAAGGTTATACCTAGGATGAACCTTGGATTAAAATGACATTTCCATACCAAATGACAATTTAAGCCAGAGTTCAACTAGGGTGTAACTTTTATTAATAAAGGGGTTGAAGTTTTATTACTACTTAAGGGTTTTATTATGGGTTGCTAAAGCGAATAAATCCACAAGACCCAATAAGTCCACCCACAAGATGGACCGACGACCTCATAAAGGTAGCGGGAAGGCGCTAGATGCAGGCCGCCACCAACCGTCCATTGTGGAAATCATTGGAAGAGGCCTATGTTTAACTGGACGTTCTATGGCTAAATTGATCATGATGATGATGATGAAAGCGAATAAAGAGCTAATAGCTTGGGTAGTTCATCGTAGATATAATCCTTTCCTTTTCAATGCTTATTTTAGTTATATTAATAGATTGTAGTCATAATACATACTCGTATACATGGATGATTGTGTTATACTTTCATTATAATACTTAGTGGAATGACTGCTTTCAAAACGTGAATTAGAACTGGCCCCATAGCAGACATTTTCCTACATCTAAAGACCTTTTGAAATNTTACCTCTAAGTATGAATTTTTGACAATTTTGACGATGGCCGTTGGGGCAGGAAAGTTCTCGAGTGGCGACCACGGGCTGGAAAACGTAGCGTGGGCAGGCCTCCTACTAGGTGGACCGACGATCTGGTAAAGGTCGCGGGAAGAGCCTGGATGCGGGCGGCGCAGGACCGTTCATTGTGGAAAACCTTGGGGGAGGCCTTTGTCCAGCAGTGGACGTCATTTGGCTGAAACGAACGAACGATGAATTGATATAAAACGGCATTAGTTCTTAAGCCTCTCACCCAAAAAATACCTCAATTAAGCCCAAATTTGAGACCGCAGCCAAACTTTGAGTGACGATTGAAACTAGCCTAGATGGAGGACACATTAAATTGAACTTCTGCTTCTTCATTGATAAAGACTTATCATTTACCATACATTATCATTTTGTATTCCATTTTCAAGTCACTTTTTTTTCGCTTACTGTAAAACAAAACGTGGGATATTTTTAAATATTCTCAGGTCTTATGAACGCAGATCTGAACGATGTCTGGTTTTAATTTTTTCAGTTACTCCGTGACCATGGCGCTTGCAACAGTGTCGAAATATTGGNCGCTACAGGTAGAGACAATTTTAATTTTAACTAAAATGCTTATTTTACTTCGAAATCTTTTGTTTTTATTTGAAATCTAACTTGTCTTTATCAAAATTACAAATCTAGAGCCATTTTCAGTTTTGTTGTTAACGAAGCGTTGAATGGCGCGCCCGGAGAGGCTTAGTTCAAACGATCATTGCAAACGTTGTGATAGGGATAGAGACATGCGATTTTTCGTTTTACGAAGGTAATACGATAGAGAATAATACAAAGTAATAAAAACTACCGGTTATAGGGGCATTTTTTGGAGAAATTTGTCAAATAACCAAAAAAACACGAATTTTTAAGCGGATTTTTTTCAAAAAGTATAATTTTTTTATTTGTTGGCCTTTTTTGTGTATTTATGTATTTTTTTAGTATTGCCTGTTATTTAGCATTATTACTGTTTTTATTTTATCAAGATATACCGCTTAGTTTAAAAGTTATTATGTTTTCTTTACAATAAGTAATTGGAAGAAAAAAAGATCTATAAAAAATTTAAAAAAAATCTCAAAAAAATTTTGACCTCTTTTTTGTCGATAAAAATAGGTCTAGTTTCATCTATTTTCATATGTACACTTTAACGTGACTCACACTGTATATTGGTTATGGCTATTGGAGCGGGTACCACTTTCCATACATTGTTGCCCATCATCCTTTCACACTTGTCTGTTACATCTGAGAAAAGGATGTTTTATAGAATGGTCAATTTTATAAACGCTCGTCCCAAAATATAACAGACAAAAGTGTAGGTCCTGTAATAACTTGTAGTTATTTTGACAGAATATTGTGATGATTTCGTGTTAGGATTTTGTCATCGTTTCAGCCTTCGGCTATCTATTTGCCCGTTATTGGTTTTTGTACTTGATAAATTGTATTAGTCCTGCAACTTGAGCCTATGGAAGCTCGTTTAGGTTTTGTAGGCTAGGGGAGCGGCGGTCGGACGGGTTTCTAAACTTGTTCCGGTGTCCAATCATAACCGCGAGTAGCGCCGATGTGTGCTGCTGAGCTATAAACTTCATCTGTTTACTTTGTACAAAGCTGCCAGTAACCAGTCGGTAAATGTAGACTTTGCAGTTAAGGAGCTGTCAGGCTTAGAAAGTTACGAGTAAAGCAGAAAATTAAATACTCAATAACTTAATAGCATGAGCGAGCACTTCTCTTTTACTCGTAAAAAGAACCGTGCAAACCAATGCTATCAACAAAAAAGCCCCAATTTACCAGGTCATTTGTCAAAAGTTTTGCTGTATAAAACCTTTTTTCACTTAAATAAATAAAATCTGTGTTATTAATTGAAATTACTTTGAGATATCAATATTGTTCCCACATAAGTCGCATCAGTAAATATGGCATACGTGAGTAAGATACAGATCTTTATACAATCTTTATGCAGTCAGAGTAAAACTAATATGCAACTATGTAAATAATAAATTGTGTCTCTATCGCGTACGATCCCAGGAACTAGGCAGGTAATGAACATAGCGACCCCTTTAGTATATGACGATGATACTTCATAAAGACATTTTACAAAGAAAAATTCGGCGCGTCGGAATGCATTCTATGAAATGTACATGTTACACAAGCCAGTGCTTCAGACTAATGAGAACGTTATTACTGAAGATGTAAGAACTAAACTGACGTTCAGGTATTGTGATAAATAAAACATCTACTGCGACGAGTCCGACCACGACCACCTCATTTGGAAGACGGTGCTGCATCCCGAAACAACTTTTTTGAAAAGCCAAAATAAATATGTGTGACCGGAACGAATCATATTGTCGGAATCGATGTGAAAAGAAAAGTAGCGTTCGTTGAATTATTAAATCCAAGAAACAGCTTTATAAAAAGAGAAAAATGCCTGTCGCATTATTTATGCCGGTT